GTTAAACGATTTTGATTTATTTGCAAAGCTTCTACGAACTCGGGATGTACGTTTCGGTACCACGTTGGCAGTGATATAAACATCATCGGCAAACGTTCTTCTAAGAATCCGGATTTTAATCCAAGCAATGGACCCCAACGACTTCCATGGTCACCAAAAAATAACACAATTGAACGCTCCAGTATGCCAGCGCTCTTCATTTCCTTAAGATATTCTAAAATTTTCACATCCATTGTGGCTGTCGTATCGAAAGAGTTGTGACTAAATGAATTTGTCCAGAATAGTCCGAAGAGCGGATCTGCAGGTAGAGCGTTTGCAAATTGCAATGCGTAATCAAAAACGTATTCGCCAGAATGCTTGCGACCGATACAATATGATAGGCCTGATCGTTTTTTTACGACCATATTTTTTGAAATAGCCATGAACATGGGCCGTAAATAATAATCCGTTGGCGGTTGCACAAATCCTTTCTTTAGATAATTAAACGTACTCATCGAGCGTTCGTCTTCTGCATAAGCTGTTTTGTAGCCGTACTCTTTAAAATTATTCCAAATTAGATTACAAATTGGTTTATTCAGACCGCCTTCAGATTTTGGTTTACATTTATCATAAGCAGTGGATGGATTGTACGACGTAAGTAGAGCCATTAGATTTGGAAACGTATTGTCACCAATCTGTAGAAACGAAGAAAAAATTGTTTAGTTAAGTCTTTTTGATGCAAATTTGTCGGTAATGGAAACTATGTAAAGCTGGCGCAGAATATGTAAAAAGAAGACAAACATGTTGCGTTCGCTTTCTTTTAAAGTATTTGGCCAAAATGTTCCTCCAATTTGTAGTGCGCAACTTGATATTAGTACACAAAGAGATGTACCTATAGTTTTGAGCTGATTGCGAAGGAAAATATGTAGCTTTTATGAGAAGTTTTTTTCAAGGCAAAAGGACACTCGGTGGTTTGCCATTGCCTGTTGAGGGGCACAGTTGGAGTAATGCACCAAATTTTCAGTTTTCACCAGTGGCGAATTTCTGTCTATAAGGGAGTTTGAACGACTTTCTTGATTTATTACGCATATATATATTTATCGAAAAC